TTTGATCACTATATTCCTTAGCTCGTAAGCTCGGCGAGCTTAATTGAATTTTTAGTATACTTGTAAAAGTGTATACTTCTAAAAGTATACAAGTTGACCATGTAGTATACTGGATCGTGGTTGAAGTTGCCTTGTGGCCAGTCGCTATCTTTAACTGATCATTGCAGTCTATTGGCCTTGAACTCGTGTAAATTGGATCATTATGAGTGCACTGGACAATTTGATTAATGAAAAGTTGCTGCCTTTGTTACTTGACTGCTACCTTTACTTGGTATATGAAAGACACTCTGTGCCAATTTAGCTTATAACGAGTGAATCTGAACATCATGTATTGTTTCCGAAAAAGAGAGAAGAAAAAAATAATTATAATAATGTGCCGTGTCACTAGACCTCCGCTTACCACGGGGATGATCAAAATTGAAGCCGAAATGGAGAATAAGAGAAAACAAAGGGAAAATTACACTTTATCCTCATGTAGTTTGGTATTTTTTTATATGATCCCCTGTGATTTCAAAAGTTAAACATAACTTTTTCATGATTTGGATTAAAGTGTCAAAATGACGGAATTTGCAATTCATATTGGAATCAACTAAAATAACAAAAATACCCCTATATAAAGTTGAAAATTAATTATGAACCACAAGAGGATTATGTATACATATATTAAAAATCATAAAGGAGTTATATGATAAAATATAAAGTCATATGCATATTATGTTTATATATTTTGGTTATTTCAACTATTTTAGTTTTTAAGCAAAGGTAATTTCGACATTTTTATAGGTTCTATTACGAATAATCATTGTCGTCATTTTGATATTTTAATTCAAATTATAAAGAAATTATATATAACTTTTAAAACTATAGAGGGATTATGTAAAAATTAGCTATGCCACAAAGGGGTAAAGTGTAATTTGCCCGAAAACAAATACCAATGCCTGAAATTCTAGACTTAAATTACACAAATTAAATCAACATTTCCCCCTCGTTATTTCCAGTCATTTTTTTATATATTGTTAATGATTTACCAAGCGACGTTATTTTGACATGTCAAAATCACGAGTCCTCTATTTTTGTCAATTTCTTGCAGATCTCGGTCTCCTACGCGAACGCATCAACTCGCATTAAAAAGAATAAGCTATGTTTTGCCTGCGCCTAGTGTAGCTGTACTGTTTCGATCCTAAGAATAAAAGTTTAAACAACGGAAAGCCAAATAAAATGAAACTAAAATTAAAAATAAAAAAAACATACATACACACGCTCTGCCAGATGCACAATTATGGGAGCAATATTTATGACCGACTCAATCGGGCAACTACTGCCTAAAAATTATGTTGAAATTGAATACGTAATATAATTATAAATACACAACCAAGGCAAGTCAATCAACAGTACTTAAGAGAAAAGAAAAACAAATATCAACTGCCCCTTGAATTTTCTGTGTCCAAAATGCATCTAAATTTGAGAGACATCAGAGATATAGGAATAGAAAATATCATAATTCTAACAAAGATATTTGTTTACTACTGAAGCTTGAGCTACATCTGTAATAGATGCATTGCCAAAGGATCCGTGGTTGCCCAAAAAACCTAGTAAGGTTGGAGCGAGCATCACAACTTCCGTGTTCACTTGCGCCATATAACCGGATCATGCTCGACCCTTCTCCTCCTCCCGCTTGCCATACGACTTCAGCGACCACCAGGTGCTGAATCGTCCCAGACGGAGCCCATCATGTTAGTGAAACTGAAACTGAAGCTGAAACCTCCACTGGCCCAGCAGCAGCCAGTGGAGGAGGAACTGGAACTGGAACTGGGGGAGGAGATCCTCTGGCATCTAGCCAGAGAGATGACTTGTTAAGGGGGTTCATTAACTTTAAAGGAATGGTTGCTATTAAAATTTGGTGGGGAAGGATCTTCCAAGCATATCCTTTCAAGCATTAACTTGGCTTGCTACTGTGCTATATTTTATTGGTCCCTTTTGGTATTTTTATGCCGTGTCATTATTATTGAAAGTGAAAATCTCATCAAAGCAAATGGGCATTGGAGTCCGTCTATTCGGCCATGCTACGTAGGTGTAGGTCATCATATGTCTTCCTTTTGCAATTTGAGTTTCTTGGAGCTCCGTTTTCTTATGGTGGCTTTTCGTGACCACTAATATTTTATTTCTCCTTTCCTTTTTTTCCTGTATCGTGATTTAACGTATTCCATTAGCCATTACCTTACTGTACCAGAAAACCTTGGAGTTAGCTGGTCTCCATATCGAGTCCCACTCCCACAATAATGGCTCGGTTTTACTGACCCCGTCAAGCTGAGCAGTGGAGGATTTTCAGGTGAAAGCACGTTGCCCTGATGGCCTTCCAAAACTGCAAGAATGGTAGACAATTAATGATCACCTTAATCATATTTCCTGCCTAGGCAAAAGATAGATGCTATTATTATCCAATCTGTGGGACCGACTTTTTCCTTTGATCCGCGGATGTTTTGTCAGATCATATTTTGGCCATCAAATTATTTTTCGTCAGTAATTGACCACTAAACAATTTAATAAGTAAACTCGTTTCCATTTAGTCGATAATTGCTCTTAATCTGTAAAATTAGCAATTAATCTGTGAAATAGGGTCACGTAGTTGTTGGACAAAATTACCCCGCACTTTGTCACGTGTACAGCTAATTTCACAAATTAAGAACAATTATTGATTAAATGGTCACGAATTTACTGATTAAGTTGTTTAGTGGCTAATTACTGACGAAAAATAATTTAATGTCCAAAACATGATCTGACCAATAGTTTAGTAGCCGCTGAGGTTTTTTGCTCGGCTGAAATTACATTACAGTCTTAAATCTTAATCTGGAGGGAAGTAGTTAACCTGAAGACAAACCCACCCTCAAAACACTCCGCCCGACCCCAAAAAAAAAAAAAACTACTTGAGCTGCATTTACTATAATGATGCAGCTCTCTTTTACTCCGTCGTATGTTTCAGTACGCGACCAATACGCACAACACAGTCTTAATAGTACAATAAATACCAAACTAACAGAACAAGCCATGATGGATTTTCTTTTAGCTTTCGGTACAATGACATGTCTACAGGAAACTCCACCTTACAGGCAAAGCCCTTGTACTTTTTATGTATGCTGAAGCATGACAAGTATTTATGTTTCGGTTCCAGCATTTAAAACCCGATTGACTTAATGACTGATTATTAATTGTGCATGGTCCTAATTGAGGAAATTTTAATGCATTTCTTTTAAACTAGTTTGCCAAAGGAAGAATTTAAAAGTCAACTTCGTAGATTGTATGTTGTGTACGTAGTAGCTTTCTGCTTGTCTTTCTTGAGGCGTCCTTTCTTCGATTATGACAATTACGCTATTAGCATTAAGCACAATGAACTCTACATTGACGCCCATGCACACCAAGAATAACTTCAAGAGAAAAAATAGCGTCAATGATTAATGCATAATGACTTGTTCCATGTGTCCAGTCATGGTTATGAATATTGGAAAATTGGTTTTCCTCAACCTCATTATCAAGGTGCTGGTCACATGTCTCTTTGGAATTTGGATGGCTAGTTTTGTACGGAAATTTTTTGAAATATTTGGTTACCACATTTCTCAATTATTTTTTAATCCCATATTATTACAATATGAACTCCCAAAAACTCTACTCTAAAGATAATAGGGATTTGACAATATTGATAGATTCTATTGCTATCATTGCGGTGGTGTCTTCTCGCAAATGCCCCTTGAAACGACTCTTTTTCCACCTAAAAAGTGACAGTCTTTCTCCCTAAACAGAATTGGATTAGAAATGAGGCGCAGATATTCAATATGAAAGTTTAGGAAACAAGTTAAAAGTATTAAAAAGTTGAGGGGAGTAAAATTTGTACTATTAAGTCATCCTCTCTTGGGATGCGTTGGTTTGATTGCTTTGTAGTACTTACTCCGTCTCACTTTGATAAGTTTGATTTTTTTTTCACCATTTAGAAAAAATAGTTAATTTTGTTGAAAAAATAAATCTAATTTATTATCTTTCTAAATATATACTTACATTAAATGCAGTGTGGCTAATTAGCTTTGTATTAAACTAGTGCTAAAGGCACACCCATGTATGTGCAATTTAAGAATAAATTAATTTTTGTGAAATTTTTTTAATGAATTGATAGTTATCTTGGTAGTTATGTCAATTGGTAGCTACCTTGGTAATTAAACCTTTTTTAATAATAAAAATGTTTGGATATTTAAACCTATTGGTAGTTGTAACAAAAATTATTATGTTGGTTATATATAATTAGATAGTTAGGATAAAATTTAGTTTTGGTGAGAATAAAAAGGAAAGTATAAAAAATGACAAAAGATGTTTAATGGATAATAGAGATAAAGGTTAGAAATAAGAGTAAATTTAGAAACACACAAAGTTAAAACCATGTTAGCTACCTACAAAGGCTTTATGATTGTATAGATAAGTTAGGTTAAACTCAATAATAATCTACATTAAATAAGGATATTTTTAAAAAATTACAAATTAATTATATTTTTTAATTAGAAAGTGAATTATAATTTAAAACAAATGAAAAATGATAACAAGTCTATTAAAATGAGACGAAAGGAGTACTAGTAATAATGTACTATACAAACACTTAATTTTAGACTGAAATACTAGTAGTAATAGGCCTATTTGGCACTCGAGTTTTTTTTTTAATCATGCATTTAATAAAACAATCTTTTTTTATAAATTTGTTTACAGTAACCCTTTAAAAATATTTCAAAATTTTTAATATACACATTCTAAAATATCAAAAAACACACAAGTTTTTTTTTTCTTTCCTTTATTTTCTTTCTCTTCTCCCATCTTAACCCACCACCGTCGGCTAACACTCCATCAATGGCAGTGCCGGTGACGCCGGTTCCTTTACTAGCAGTCCAGCGCCTCTCTTTCCCTTTTCTCCCCTTCTTGCTCTCTCCTCTTCCTCTCCCTTTTCTTCCTATCCTCTCTCCCCACTTATGTCCATTCCTTCTCCTCTCCCGCTCTCTCCTTTCCCCTTGACTCTATTTCTCTCCCATTCTACCTCTGATTGCGCATCCTCAACCAGAGGGGAAAGGGGGTCAGAGACAGAGAGAGGGGAAGAGAATGGGGATTGGGAGAAGGAAGAGAAAATGAGGAGGAGAAGGAAAGAAGGCACGAAGCAGGAAAAAGAAAGGAAAAAAGAGGAGTGGGATGGTGGCATTGGTTGGCATGGCTGACGGTGATCGGGGTGGAAAAAAAAGGAGGAAGGAAGGAAGAAGAAAGGAAAAAAGAAAAAGAAAAAGGAAACGAAAAGGAAAAGGAAAGAAAATTTTTTTTTTCAGACCTTCAAATACACGATTTTTTTTTTCTACAAATTATAAAATTTTATACAAACACTCAAACATCCAAGGCTCGCAATCCACGCGTGATTAACAACCAATCATTAACATATATAGTAAATGTGTGAATGCCAATCCCTTCAATTGAACCCAATTGCTGACGTGGCACGCTGTGATTGGTCGATTGATGGTAGTCCTCCGTTGATTGAGCTGATGAATTGAATTGAGGACAAAATCGAGATTTCACCTCATCATTCAATAGATAGGGTTTCTGAAGCTGCTGTCGAGAGTCTCTTTTGCGCCTCCCTATCTAATCCTCCTCCTCGATTTCTTTCTTTTTTTCTTCTCTCTCATTTTCACTTCTTTTCTTTCCTTGATTCGCTGTTGTCCAGATCTTACTCTTCGTGGCTCTCCGGCTCCATTACTCTCCATTGATCAAGGTGATAACAATGAATGGGCCTCCCTATCTAATCCTTCTTCTTGGTTTCTTTCTCCTTTTCTTCTCTCATTTTTACTTCTTTTCTTTCCTTGATTCGCTGTTGTCCAGATCTGCCTCTCCGTGGCTCTCCAGCTCCATTACTCTCCGTTGATCAAGGTGTAACAATGAATGGGAAGCAAACATTTATTTTATTTTAGGCTACTTAGTCATAATTTTTTCTTCATATTACTTAGCCATATTAAAAATCTTTTTTCCCCTTTTCGTTTTTTCCGCGCATGATTCCTCGAACCCATCTGCTGTAATATTCGTCCCAAAGATATCTTCTTTACACCCCCAATTTTAATATGGATGGTCTGTATCAAAATTAGGGATGCCCAGATATTAGAAATTCGCTAGCTTTTGCTCCAGTCTTGGGATTCAAATCTTGCATTCTTTTTTTCACAACTTTCTACTGTTCGATGTTTCCTGTTTCGTTTCATGGAGTTATCTTTTTAATTCAAGAGAGAAAAAATTATGATTACTTTAGGTTACTCAATCATTGTTTTTCTTTTTTTTTTTTTGGGCAGATTGGAAGGCAACAGTTGTTCGTCTCATATTTTATGAGAAAAAGGTAGAGGTGAGCTTTTTTTCCTACAGATTAATTCGTGATCATTTGTTTCTATCTTGGAGAGTCGGCTATTTTCTCCTTCCATCTTTAAGATCTGACAAATACATTTTTTATTATTGATTTTTTTCCTATACACTATTATCTTTATTGTTGTGTGATTATTCTCTTCTTGTGTGAACATCTATATGGTTATTCTACTAGCTGTTTTTTTCTCACTTGTTATTGATATGTGCCTTTTTCTTTTTAGAAAATTTTTAGTGCTTCTTCTCTCCCGCATTCTCGTTCCTCATGGTGAGTTTTCTAATTTTTGCATCCGTGCTTACTTTTATTTTTTTTCCTGAGCTCTATTTTAAGTTTTTTATTATTGTTATAAGTGTTGTTGCTGTTTATATTTGGAGGATTTGTTTTGTCCACTTTTTTAATTTGCAATTATGGTTTCTAAATTTTTTTCTCTATATATAAGTAGCAAAAAGTAGTTCCTACCTTTATATTTGATTTCAGGTTTTCATCTTCAAGGTCAAAGAACTCAGTAAACGTGGCAAAAAAGGTTATTACCTTTTTGTCTGATTTCATGTTTTTATCTTCAAGGTTAAAAGAACTCATGCAAATATAATGGATTTTAATGTCTTAATATCTGTTTTCCTTGCTGAAAAGTTTTTTATGATTTTTTCAAAATTTCCCCTCGACTTATTTCCTAATCATTCACTTCAAGTAGCACAACATACTGGATCTTATATTTGCAAAATACCAAAACAAACAGGTAGCGTTTGTATAAATCTCCATTTTTGAATTTGTGAAATAGAAGAAAAGAAAACGTGGTCTTCTTATTTCTTGTACTTGCTGTGTGTTTTGAAGTTCAATTGAAACTCATGTGCTTGGAAAACTTTAGAAATTAACATTTTCATTTTATTTTAAATATTGTTGGGGTTGTCAAATTGAATTAATTGAAGAATCTTTAAATATGACACATATGCTCTTATTTTCCAAATGCTTAAAAAATGCACTTTTTGATTGAGTTTTTACTAAATAGGGACAAAAGTAGGATTTCACCTTGAAAAAATGCATATGCAATTAGAATGTATGAACAAAATTAGTTTAGTGGTTCATATATGCCTCAGCAAAAGTGTAATGAAAAAAGAGTTTGATCTCAAATGAAGGGTCCGGACTTTCTCACCCACTGGTAATTAGTTAAGCAATGGAGGTATGCAAGTGACCAGCAAATTTAGTACTCAATGAATCGGTTATTACTTTATTTTTGGAGTTAAGATTTTTTGTTACAATCTGTTTCCATCCAAGAGGTTTGCTAATGTGTTGCTTGCTTAACTAGACTTCATCCTCTATATAACATTTTCTTGCCTTGAATCATAAAAGAAATGATAGCCGTATTTTGTTTGGAAAGTGCTCTGCTTTCAATGCTCTATGCTTTTAATTCATGACCCTAAATTGCCTCTTACCACTTCTAAAAATTTTAACATGAAAATCTCATTTATAATTGCATCCATGGCAAGCTTTCGGCTGCCATGTTATCAATTCTTATTCCGTTGATCCCTATGTCATTGGTTTGATAGACTACTATTATTTTAAACATACCCTTTGACATCACCATACTTTTTAATAACTTGGACTAGCATGGAAATAATTACTAGGTAATTCAGTTTTGGGTGTTTTAAATCTGTATTTGCTAAACATGATGTTCCCTGTAACATTTTAGTATGATTAAGTTTGGAAAGTCTGATTTTTATAGCCAGTTTGTTGTACTTTGTGAAATTGGATTCAACTGAGAAAGAAGCCTAAACAGGTTAACGGACAACAATTAAATTTCGAATTGCCAATTGAAAGATTCAATGAGTGAATGTTAAACAGATTTTCAATCTACCTTTAAGTTTTTCTACGAGAAAGAACTTAATGGAAGGAAATGTTACTTTTGAAGTAGATTTGCTAAACTCTCTTGTAAATTACAGTAGGATGCATAATCCATGCCAAATATGGCATCTAGATGTTCCAGTAGAAGAAGACCCCTCTACTTTGAGAGAAAATGGTATAGACTTCTTTGCAGGATCTTAGAATACAATTATTATTTCTTCCACTTTTGTTTTTAGGCTGAGGCATATATGCCATATTTGCCGCATCTTCTTTCCAGGTATCTTTTGTTTTGTAGCTACTGCATTTCAATTGTGTTGTTGCAGTTTGCAAGAATTATTATGGCGCTCTTGATTCTCATTGGGCAAGATCCAAGTAATGAACTTTGCCACGAATCCTTGAAAATTACTTCTTATGTATGATTTGTTTATAGCCTTTCCAATTACCAATAACTTCAATTCTTTGGCACTGCTTGGATTAAAAACAAAATTAGGTTAGCTTGAGATATGAAACATTTCAGATTTCGTCATTGTTAGATAAATTTTATAGGCAAACATGATTGGTCTTTTTTTTTTGTGTTATTTATGAGCAATAATTTGATTTGGACAGCAAATCAGAAAGTGTAAGCGCCCATATTTGAAACTATTCATTTTTGTTTCGTGTTAGGTAATGGATGATATTTTTGCACTATATTTAACCCACAAATGCAGTCTAATATAGGTTGTCCTGCTAGGTTCAGCTCTTGATTCACACATCCAATACGATTTTATCAATATGGACTGTGCTTATTTATTTATTTTTTCCTTCTTCCTTTTGGGTTTTGGTTGCCATAATTATCGACACTATGTATCTTTTGTTGTTTTTGTTGGAATCCTCTATTCGTAGGCTAGAAACATGCACAAAACTAAACTTCTTCGAAATGCTACAGCCTTAAGAAATCCAGGATTGGCAGGAGCAAAAGAACTCAGTAGAGACTCCTCTGGTTGTTGGATGGAAGGCTATAGTAGAAACAGTGCAAACTTGGGAATTGCTATCAATATTTTGGCTGAACTATGGGGTTTTAGAGACGGAATTATGCTTGCTTTGGAGTTAAATTTTCAATTCCTAGATATTGAAGTTGACTGCCTTGACATCATATCTCTAATGAAATCAAATACTCTCAGTAATCATAATAATCATTGTTTGCAATATAATTGTTGATTGCAGAGTCCTATTGCGGTTGCAACAGGAAGTGAATAGATGTGTAGATGGGCTAGCTAGATTGGGAGGCAAGATGGAATGGCATTTTGTAATTTTGGTTTCCTATCCTCATGAACTACCTTTTGCTTTAGATGAAGATTTGAGGGGAAATTTTTTTCCTCGTAATACTTGTTTGGCTTGTACTTGGTGTTTTATTTAATCTATTTGTACCCAAAAAACAGGAAAATGTTCCAGAGCATTTTTTTCCTTCTCCTATGTGACTTGACCAAAACTAACCGTTATAGGAGACATCCGGTCTTTAAAATTTCGATGGATGAGTATAGTCCAGAAAGTACTACCAAGTACCAACCAATCGAGACTACTAACTCGTTCCCCCCACCACCAAGTGTAGCTGCTACAGTACTTTATTTGGATTGATACAATATACTATTGCACGAGTTACTTCTCCATGAATGTTGAGTTTGACAAACATATATAAAGCCAATCTCGGCTATTTATACTTATTATGTGATTTTTTGGATTATTGTTTCTTTCATTGAATTGTAATACATAAGTGGATACAGTTGAACAAATTTGAAAATTTACTTGGCATAATTGAAAACTCTTGCTAAATTTGAAAACTCTTGCATTCCCCAATTGAAAACTCTTGTATGCGAATTAATCTCTAACTATTTTACCCAATTTTTTTTGTCAATCTTTCTTGAAACAATTTATTAAACAAAAGGAACACCTTTACCAAGATTGTTAAGAAACTTTGTAGGCGGAGTTGGCTTTATTTGTTTTGCTTGATATTAGATCTCATCATGATTGCGATATGGCTTTTCCGGCTATTGGAGTAAGTATTTTGATTCTAAATTATTTCTTAACAAAAAGTTGAATCGGATTATAGTCAATGGATGCCAGTATTTTGCTTGCGATTCTAAAAAAATTGTATATATATAATATATATATGTATATGAAGAGGACCCAGTTAATTTTTTCTTTCAATTTTGATTGATTAAGAGCCTAGATATTGGAGCCTTGAAAGCGTATGGAGTTCTTAGCTCAATATCTTTGTTTTTGTCTTCCTTTCTAATACTTTTAGTAAGTTGTTCATTATGCACCCCAACAATTAGTGGCTATAAAAATTCCATTTTCTCTTGGTTTTTTGATGATTTCTTTTAATGTTTTAACACTTGTGCGTGATGATCTAGCTCAATCAAATTAAAGTTTATGAACAACATTATTAGCTTCTCCTTGATTACGTGTATCTATTTTTTTTAATTCTATTTTCATTCTATGCAGAAGCAAGGAGCATCTTAGTGATCTTAGTTGTCTAATCATGATATTGTCTTGCATTTTCTTAACAAATATTCATATTCACTACTAAATAAGACTACAAAAACAGAACGGCAAAGCTTTTGGTGCATATTTGTGTAACTTTTCATACTTAATATAAGAATTTGAATCACTGGGCATTTTTGGGCAACCGTGAAAATTACACCGCGCATCGCGCGGTGTTATCCTCCTAGTATTGCAATAAAATCGTTTCATTGTACGAAATGCCTCGGAGGCCAAACCCGACCCGAAATTAACACAAACGCACAAATCCTTTGTCGTTTTAGCAAGCCTTCATTCACCAGTCCCACAGTGCCACGTCGTCCCAATTCCCCACTTAATATAGACCCCATCCACACAAAATATAATTTCTTCTCTTCTTTTGCGGTCATCACTCTAACTCAGAGCATTTCTTACTGTAAAAAGCCACCATCGGACTGACGAAGATCTCAACCTGTGGACTCCTTTTTGGTAATTTCACTTTCTTTTTCTGGCTTAAACGGCTGATCAGATTCCGTTATTTGATTTCCTCGTCTTGTTGGGTATTTTTTTTTTCTGGATTTAATAGTTTTTTTCCTTTTCTTTTGGTTTTTCTATTTTTAGAGGGTTGTTTCTGTATAAATACCTTATATCCTTACAAGGTTTTGGGCGTGGTGTCTCTGTGGGGGTATTGAACTGTATTTATTAATTGATTAATACATCAATGGCGGCACCACCGGCGAGGGCTCGAGCGGACTACGATTACCTCATAAAACTTCTACTCATCGGCGATAGTGGTTAGTACAATTTCAAAATTTTCATGGATCGAGCCTTTATTAGCATTTTTAAATTGATATTTAATTCGTGTTACAATTTCTGTCAATCAGAGCAGTTAATGTATGTGGATCTATAGCTTCATTCAAGGGGGGGGGGATATGGATTATTGGTTATAACTCCGTGCCTAAAAATGCTACCAGTGGCATTATATTCATTTGTCTACAAATCCATTGTGGTTTAATGAATTGATTCTGTAGACTCTTCGAATAGCTAACGTCGATCATTAGCTTACAAAAGGATAAACTACACGTTTGTGCTTGTGAAACTCCGATCTTGTCAGGACTGGTTTTGAAAGTTGAGATTTGTATTTGTTGTTCGTGTTTAGTGCTTTCAGTTCATCAAATTGAACTGGTAATATATGCTTACAATGGATTGGGGCATCGTGTACGTTTTACTTGGCATGATGGTGGAATCAATAGCATCCAGGTAGGTCGTAATGGTGGTGTTGATGGTTTAGTAGCCGGAGCATGTATGCATCATAATCATAGTGGCAGCATTAACATCTGCTTCTGGGTTTGTGAAGTCATAGAAACTCTAGAAATGCAGGTAGTTTGCCTGTCCGTGTACCATATCAACTAATGAGAAGGATTATTGTTAGGCAAGATGTACTGAGGTACTCCCTCTTTTTTGGTTTCATTGGGAAATATAGTTGATTTAGGTTGCCAAAAAGAAGAATCTGCTGTTCATGTAATGATATCTATTTTTTTTAATACTCGAGTATCCTGTCTAACATGGTTTTACTCTTAATGCTGGCATACTCAGTGTGGTATTTGTGCAAATGAAATTACGATTTTTGTTGTGATTTTACTTTGAGTAGCTGGAATTCTTTAGGGACTTCAATTTTGCAGAAAAAAGTTGAATTGGAATATAAGTCTACATTTGCGTGTGAAGTTGGATTTGTTCCTCAGACTCTCATCAAGTAAACGTGATTGAGCATGCAATCTGCAAATTTTTATTAAGTTTTGTGTGAGTCTGGTGAATACGTACAATAAACTCATATGACAGAAGGTGAACACTTAGTGCCCTTATGGAGTTTTAGTTACTCATGTGCAGGTGTGGGTAAGAGTTGCCTTCTTTTGCGTTTTTCAGATGGTTCCTTCACGACTAGTTTTATCACAACCATAGGGTGAGTTTTTAATTTTTCCTTCTTTCTTTTCTTTTTCAATTCCTGTTTAGACAAGGGTAGTTAAGTGGGTTGAATTTTCGGAAAATGAGGGGTTATATTTTCTTCTTCAGAATTGATTTCAAGATAAGAACCATTGAGCTTGATGGCAAGCGGATCAAACTCCAAATCTGGGATACTGCTGGTCAGGAGCGGTTCAGAACGATCACCACTGGTATGTTGTTGCTTCTGCTTTAAATATGTTGTGCTTTTTTCATTGTGCTTAAATTTTCTGCTTTCTTCATATCAAATGGATCTTGCTCCTCTTTTATTCATTCATGAATTTGGACGCTAAAAAGTGTTCAGGAACTGTGAACTGGTCTATTTACACCTGTTATTCGAGACTGCTATTCCCGTTGATGACAAAACATTGAATTGGATTGTTGCTTTTCTTCCCCTATTAACCATTAATTGTGTCTTTACTCATCTGTTTGTGTAGCAGTGAAAACAGTATACTCTCCTTTCACTTCATTTTTAATATTTATGATTTTTCATCATTGTCATATGGAGTTGCCTGGAAGGTTTTATTTCTTCATGAAGTCCCATGTGCTATTGTTCATGTATTTGTTTCGTCGCTTAGTCTAGGTATCATTGGCACTTTTTCATATTTTATTTTAATGCCTGTGATGTATTGACTTTTTAACCTTCTCCAGCTTATTATCGTGGAGCTATGGGAATATTGTTGGTCTATGATGTTACAGATGAATCATCCTTCAATAGTAAGGTTTCTTTTGCAGCATCTTTTATGATATGAGTTTTACTTATGTTTTCCTGCGGTAGTTACATCTAATTGGTCTATTTCTAACTTCAAAACTTTTTTGACAAAGCTCGTGATGAACAAAGATTATGATGCTTAAGTTTTGTGCTCGTTGTTTATCACCCTCAAGTTATTGTGATCAACGAAATATAATTTGCTTAGCTATTTTATCTTTGTTTTCACTTATATCCTTTTGAACTTTTACTTGGATTTCATTTCTTCTTACGTGAGGCATTCTTATTGCCATCTTGGGACCCCTGGATGTTTTGAGCTTTGCTGAATCTGATGTGCCTCTAGATACTATAATACTTGATTTAACGAATTTTGTTGGTACACAGATTTGTTGAGGATAGAACCTGAATTTTATGACCATTTTCTCAGATATTAGGAACTGGATTCGTAACATTGAACAGCATGCATCTGACAATGTCAACAAGATTCTGGTAGGGAACAAGGCTGACATGGATGAAAGCAAAAGGGTAAGCTGTCTTATTAATTAGACAAACTGGCATATGAAATAATTTTGTTTAGAGAGAGACAAGATAGCTGGATTTGTAGATTATGTTATACAATGTTTAGGAATCCTTTCAAATCCCATTTGGTTATCATTATGTCACAATATGTTGTCTAAAGCAATTGTGGACTATTTGTAGGCTGTCCCTACCTCAAAGGGTCAAGCACTTGCTGATGAGTACGGTATCAAATTTTTTGAGACTGTAAGTTGCTTTTGAATGTATTATGTGACATAGCTCCTTCTGTTGCTTCTCTTAATATGACTATACTACACTGCAGAGTGCAAAAACAAATCTTAATGTGGAAGAAGTTTTCTTTTCAATAGCAAGGGACATTAAGCAAAGGCTTGCAGACACGGACTCTAAAGCGGAGGTAAGTCAACCTGGTATTGTTGAACTGGCTCTGATAGATGATACAAAGTATGCGATCTAAGTTTGCTTGCCTTTGCAGGCTTCAACAATCAAAATTAATCAACCGGATCAGGCTGCTGGCGCTGGTCAACTTGCTCAAAAATCTGCTTGCTGCGGTTCTTGAACTGGAAGAATACTAATGAGCACTTAGATCAGGTGCTCAATGGCAGGAGAGAACAAAAACAAAAACTAATTGTGACGAAACATTGTCGGTGGATGTAATTTAATTAATTGTCATTCTTTAAAAGGACTTATTTTAGTTTGTGTAAGATAGGCTCTTACTGATCGAGAAACTTGCACTTATTGTGGCCAGACGCTAATGGTTTCATCAGTAATCCCTTCTGAATTTGTCCTTTCAGTGTTGTTTATTCTTTAA